AGTGTATTCGTATATGTCCGGATTCTTGGGATTTCGAGTAACCAACGAAAACTATACTTGAATGTTTCCTAATTCTGCTTGTACTTTGAGAGGTTGCAAGGCCGTGAGCCCCTTTTCCTAGGCAGCATCCTTCCTGGCTCAAGGATTTCGAGAGTTTCACGAAAAATGTCTTCGTGTATCTCTTGAATCTCTTCAAGCTTCGTATGCCTTTGAGGGATGGAGCAGAGTGTTGTCTTCTGCTTGCTGCTATAAGTGTGGAGACTGAGAGGGTCATTGTTGAGATTGATGTGGTGAGGGATTTTACTGAGGTGTTCCCTGATGAGGTGCCTGGGTTGCCTCCTGTTAGGGAGATGGAGTTTAGCATTGACTTGGTTCCAGGTGCGGGGCCAGGGTTGGTGGCTCCCTATGGGATGGCTCTTGCTGAACTGGTTGAGCTGAAAGGTCAATTGGAGGACCTGTTAGAGAAGCAGTTGGTGTGGCCGAGTGTATCGCTATGGGGTGCTTCCGTGTTGTTGGTGAAGAAGAAAGATGGAGGTTGTCGATTGTGTGTTGATTTCTGGTAGTGGAGCAAGTTGACCATTAAGAACAAATATTCACTTCTTCGGGGTAGATGACTTAATGGATCAAATGAGGGGAGCATCTGTTTTCCCGAAGATTGACTTAAGGTCAGACTATCACCAGATCAAGGCGAAGGAGGGTGACAAACCGAAGACTGCTTTCAGGACTAGGTATGGTCACTACGAGTGTGTTATGATGCCGTTTGGTGTGACCAACACCCCGGCTGTGTTCATGGATTACATGAACAGGATTTTTCGGTCGTTTTTGGATAAATTGGTGGTGGTGATGACATCCTGATTTATTCAAGAACACCGGAGGAGCATGAAGAGCACTTGAGGTTGGTGCTGGAGATTTTGGAAGTGAAGCAGTTGTATGCTAAGCTTTCGAAATGTGAGTTCTGGTTGGAGAAGGTGAAATTCTTGGGACATGTGATCTCAACTGAGGGGAGTGCTGTTGATCCGGCTAAGGTGGAGTCGGTGTTGCAGTGGGAGTGTCCCAGAACTGTCACTGATGTTCGGAGTTTTGTGGATTTGGCGGGTTACTATCGAAGGTTCATTGAGGGATCCTCCAAGATAGTAGCGCCTCTGACCCAGCTAACAAGGAAGGAGCAAACGTTCATTTGGACTGATGCCTGTGAGCGGAGTTTTGATGAGCTGAAGAGGAGGTTGACTACTTCTCCTGTGCTGGTGTTGCCCGACTCTGGTGAACCTTTTGATGTGTATTGTGATGCTTCTCACCAGGGTCTGGGGTGCGTGCTGATGCAAAACAGGAAAGTAGTGACATATGCTTCAAGGCAATTGAAGAATCATGAGAGGAATTATCCCACTCATGACTTGGAGTTAGCAGTTGTTGTGTTTGCCTTGGAGATATGAAGACATTAGTTGTATGGTGCTTGGTTCAGCGTCTTCAGTGATCACAAGAATTTGCAGTACTTGTTTGATCAGAA